ATTTCTAGATCATCGCTTCCACCACCAGCAATTCGAATGCTGTTCTACAGATCGATAATGCCAGGCTGACAGCGGATGACTTCAGACTCAAGTAAGTAGATTCCCAGAGCGAAAGAATCCATGGAGGTTAATGCAAAGCATCAAACTGAATTTATTTTTTGATCCCTCCATTAAATATTAAAATACTGGGATTTAAAGCAAACAGAATGCTATTACTTTTTTATACTTTTGCCACAAGATCTAAAGTATGAACTGCCATAAAAGAAGTGTTCAATGCCCTAGTTCTTTTTCTGTCAAAGAAATGCATCAAAATAAAGAAAAGAATAATTACCATACAGTAGACTTTGAAAATGTCTCTTGTGGCCAAATCTGGCACCTCCAAATTCTATTTGCTCATTGATTGTTGGCTATTTCCCCAACCATGTGACCAATTGGAAAATCATTAACACCCTTTAAGGTATGAAAATGAGCTGGCTCTTCACCAGAGCGTGGAGAGTGATGTCAATGGGTTGCGCAGAGTCCTGGATGAAATAACCCTGTGCCGGACAGACCTGGAGATTCAGTATGAAACCCTGAGTGAGGAGATGACGTACCTCAAAAAGAACCATAAAGAGGTGAGAGCTGACTGTCTGCGCTTTGCTGCCCCTCTGTAGACACTACCTACCTGATAGGAGATCACGTACTTGGCTTCTTAAACAAGAAATTGGTCCTAACAAACCATTATCAGACAGATATGAGGCCTGAGTTGTCTTTAGAAGTGGCCAAGTCTTTGTGCAGATTCACCCTTGCTCTCTCATTGTTTCCCATTGGGGGGGAAAAAAGAATCATGTTTTCCAAACCAATCAGGGTTAAAGAGCAGTAGTTGGCTAGATAATTATAGCTATAGATACTTAAAATGGTGCACTTAAAAGATTACATCTAATGAGATAAAAGATGTATACTGTAAGGACTGCCTAAGGAAACTAGATCTAAATTTCTATATAACAGTGGCAGATTTAAAACACTTAAACATTTACTCCATACACACATTAGGTATATATACTTAATATTAATACATATTCTTAATAAGTATGGCTATAGAAATAATGAGACTGGAATTAAACTGTTACATTAAAATTTACACTTCCAAATAAATAGTATATGTCAAAAGTGGTCATCGTGGGAAGCTAGATTCTAAATTAGACCATACAGCCACTACTCCAGACACACCTCTGGGGTTGCTTTCAGAACCACTGTTTCCTGATCATATCTTTATTCTTTGAAAAGGAATTTGATATTTTTAAACAGCCAAAAAACTTCTCAAAGTCAAGCCAAGGGCTTAAAGGAGAAAAGCTAAAAATGCTGCTTGCTTAGTCATGAGGCTGTCTTGTAATTTAAGTATTTGAAGAATAACATTTGTATAAATATATGGGTTCAAGTATGGCTATAGCCCCCTGGTAGTTACTCAACAAATTTTTGATGAATTGAATGCAATTGATTTCATTTTTTTAATGACTCACAGATAAACCACCATGTATCTTTTCATCTTTTTCTGTTTGAACTGACTGGGGAAGATTTCCCTAAATCCTCAGAAGTAAAAACCCCACCTGGAGACAGACAAGGCATGGGACCACCAGGGAGGAACGAATGCTAGAACCACCTGAGGGACTTGGCACAGGGAGGAAAGAAAGCCTCATTAGTGTCATGAGGACCGGTCCAGGGCCTGGGACATGGGTGGGGAGGAGGGTTCCTGCAGCAGAGGCGTAAGCCACTCCGTGTTGTTTCAGTGGTACAGTCTTAGTGGTGTCTGCCATCCACAATCTTAGAATGACTCACTGCACCCCAACAGCACACACCTCGGATGAAATAATATGCAAAACTGATTCCAACCTCTCTGATGATGATAATGATCATAATGACTAGCATTTATTTAGTATTTACGCGCCAGGTAGTACTGTTGGTCTTATTACTATTTCACATCTTTCAACAACACAGAGAAGGATATTATTTGTTGCCTCAATTTTCAGATAAGAAAATTGGGGTTTGAAGTGAAGCAACCTTCCCAGGTAGCTACTACAGGGCAGAACCAAAATTCACATGGAGATCGGTTTGACACCAAAGTCCATCAAGACACTATAATGGCCTGTGTAAGCTTAATAGCTTAATAGACAACTAGGATCCTTTAGAAGATGATGTTCTTCCTTTACTAATAATAAATAAGTTTATAATTATAAGCAAGTATAAATATATGAACATAAATATGTATTTACTCATAGTTATTTCAACTGTTCAAAATTATCCAGACTCAGCCCCTCCACCATGTTCATGCTGAGTTCAGGATATTGCTGGGTGGAGAACACATCAAAGCTGGTCTCAAAGTGGAATAATGACCAAGTCCACGGAGGTGGAGACATTTAAGCTACAAATGAATAGGAAAAGAGATGATGGATCACTCATTCTATATATTTGTTTAATTTTAAAAAAAAACATATTTTTTTATTGATTTCAGAGAGGGAGAGAGAGATGGAATCATCAATGCTGAGAGAGCATCATTGATTGGCTGCCTCTTGCACGTCCCCTACTGGGGATCAAGCTGTAAACCCAGCCATGTGCCCTGACCAGGAATCCAGCAGTGACCTCCTGGTTCATAGGTCCACATTCAACCACTGAGCCATACCAGCTGGGTTCATTCTGGACATTGTAAGGACTTTCATTTGGAAAAGCAATTAAGACTTTTTTCTGTTCAGCAGAACTATACCTGATTGATGAATTGGAGTTTATGAGCTGGAATTGGGTTCATCATAGAAAAGACCTCTGGAGCAACAAAAACTCCAAGAAAGAAACAGGCTATTTCATGAGGCAGTGAGTTCACTGTTGTTGATAGTTATGTCCGCTGGACAGGATATATAAAATGTAGAGGGAGCTCATTGCACAGCCTGGGAGATGGAATCAGGTGAATGCTAAGAACCCTTCCAAAGCTAAGCTTCTAGAGCTTCTAGACTTTCTATGAGATCCCTGCTTGCCTGAGCTGCACACTTTTCTGCCTCTAGGAAATGCAAGTTCTGCAGTGCGTCGCTGGGGGCAACGTGAACGTGGAGATGAACGCGGCGCCCGGGGTGGACCTCACGGTTCTGCTGAACAACATGCGGTCTGAGTACGAAGCACTTGCGGAGCAGAACCGCCGGGATGCGGAGGCCTGGTTCAATGAGAAGGTGAGTCTTTGTGAGAAAACAAGCCTGCTGCATTTTGGTGATGCTCACACCTAAGATTTGCTCCCTCACTTATACCTTCCAGAGCGCTTCCCTGCAACAGCAGATCTCTGAGGATGTGGGCGCCACAACCTCCGCCCGGAATGAGCTGACTGAGATGAAGCGCAATCTGCAAACACTGGAAATTGAACTTCAGTCTCTCTTAGCCACGGTAGGAAAGGACAATGTCTTACCATCTCCTAGGTTATCATTTTAATTATGTGCCGGTTGGTTTTAAAGCTCTTAACCATATTGCCTGAACGGTGTGGATCAGTGGTTGAGCATTGATCTATGAACCAGGAGGTCACAGTTCAATTCCCAGTCAGGGCATATGCCTGGGTTGCACACTCAACACCCAGTGTGGGGCATGCAGGAGGCAACCGATCAATGATTTTCTCTCATCATTGATATTTCTATCTCTCTCCCCCTCTCCCTTCCTGAGATCAATAAGATTTTTTAAAATCTCTTAACCATGTTGAGAATATCTATATATATAAAAGCCTAATATGCAAATTGTCCCCTTGGGAGTTTGACCAGGAGACTGATCGCTCCCTATGATATGCGCTGACCACCAGGGGTTGGCGCAGAAAGAAGGGAGGCCCTGATCAGTCCTGATGGCCAGCCAGCCCTAGGGACCCTACCCGTGCACAAATTTCATGCACTGGGCCTCTAGTATGCATATATTATTTTATGTAATTAACTTAAAACATTAAGAGAGAATAGGAGATAATAGGATTGTATCTAGAACAGCTAAAACAGCAACATCAATGACTTTAGACTTGTTCTACCAAAAAGAAAGACTTGCTCATTTTAAGAGTGTCACAGAGTCTTCTTAACCATGTGTCCACAGGAAATCTACAATAAGAGCAGGGCTAACAAGAGGAGAAAGTCATATGTCAAAGCAAGTTTGTATATGTGTGTATCCGTCTCAGTTTCTTCATTGTTTCCTTACAGAAACAGTCCCTGGAGTGCTCTTTGACGGAGACCGAAAGCAACTACTGTGTGCAGCTGGCCCAGATCCAGGCTCAGATCGGGGCCCTGGAGGAGCAGCTGCACCAGGTCAGAACCGAGACCGAGGGCCAGAAGCTCGAGTACGAGCAGCTGCTGGACATCAAGGTCCTCCTGGAAAAAGAGATTGAGACCTACTGCCTCCTCATAGGCGGAGATGACGGGTAGGTAAAATAGTTTACAGAGAAGTAATATACTGAAATCTGCATGAAACTTAGATCTCTGGGAACTGATATGACCACATTTATTATCATGTCGCTAAATATTAAACATGATACTCTACTGCCAAGGTACAAATTACCCACATCTTACAAAACCAAAATGCAACAAGCCCTGTACTTACGGTATGAAATGTAAGACTCAACCTCTTGATGCTAAAGCAGATGTAACCCACTGAAATGTGCTCACCAGACAGCTAAATAAAACATAATAGTGAATTTAGAACTGAAGGGGCTCTCTCCAAATCATGTTTTTGTAATGTTTTCAATAATATGTGTTTACAGGGCTTGCAAATCTGGAGGTTACAAGACTAAAGATTATGGGTCTGGAAACATGGGAAGTCAAGTCAAAGGTAATTGAGTAAATTCTATTTTTATGCTATACTACTTCATTTTCAATGCACAGCTTGATTGCTTTTATATTCCCAGAATATATATTATATATTATATGTAAGAGTAGATAAAGATTTGTAGTAGACATCAGTGAGTGCTAGATGTCTGTCTTTAGAGATGTATGCTAATTTTATTTATTTTATTTTTTTAATATTTTAAATTTTTTCCTTTTTTATATTAATTTTAAACAAAGTAACATGTCGCCATATTTTTAGCTAATCAAATTTCACCAAAAAATGAGTCCAAGTATTTGTGCTTTTTGCATAGTTCACCTATATAAAAATCCTATTATTCCTTAATTGATATACTTTCTTACTCATTTTTTAAGTTTATTGAATTAAAATATACTAAACATAAAATTTAGTATCTTAACCATTTTTGTGTGTACAGTTCAGTGGCATTATGTACATTCGTATTCTTGTGCAACCATCACCACCATCTATCTCTAGAACTCTTTTCATCTTCTAACACTGAAACTCTATACCCATTAAACAATAACTCTCCATTCCCCCTCCCCAGCCACTGGCAACCACCATTCTACTTTCTGTATGAATTTCACTACTCTAGGTACCTCATATAAGCAGAATCATATAGCACTTGCCTTTTTGTGACTGAGTTATTTCACTTAGCAAAATATCCTCAGGATTTGTCCATATTGTAGCATGTCAGAATTTCCTTCCTTTTTATTTTTATTTTTTCATTTTTTATTTTTTCTTGATTTCAGAGAGGAAGAGATAGGGAGAGAGAGATAGAAACTACAATGATGAGAGAGAATCACTGATTGGCTGCTTCCTGCACACCCCCAATTGGGGATCGAGCCTGCAACCCAGGCATGTTCCCTGACTGGGGAATCGAACCGTGACCTCCTGGTTCATAGGTCGACGCTCAACGACTGTGCCACACTGGCCAGGCGAATTTCCTTCCTTTTTAGTGCTGAGTCATATTCCCTTGTATGTTTTTACCATACTTTTTTATCCATTCACCCATTGATGAATTTTTGGGTTGCTTCCACATGTTAGCTATTGTGATCTTATTCATCTTTTCTCACTCTCTAAAATCTCCTTTTAAATTTTAATTTCTAGATCCAGCCAAAGCCATAGTGGTTAAGAAAGTTCTGGAGGAGGTAGACCAACGCAGCAAAATACTGAGCACCAGGCTCCATTCCTTGGAAGAGAAATCTCAAAGCAATTAATTTGAGACACAAGAGCTAGCATATGCCAAATGCTTTCCGAGAAGAAGAGGCATTATATGTATCTGCCAAGAAAAATCAGCAAGTCTAAAAGAAGTCTGTCCCTTTGTCTTTCTGTTACTGAAATATCACCTCTAGCCATCAATAGTTGTATCTCCCATTCTTCTGCAAGAACGTCACATACAAATGTGATGACTCATTTGAATACCTTGTAGAAAATGTTGCCAATTCTTTGTGTTCAATAAACCTTCCTTCAGCAAGTTATCACTGATGGTATTGTCTTATATTTAAAATGTCCGTGTCTGTGGCCTAGATCTATGAACACTTAACAGCTTTTCATTTATATAAAAACTTTTTTTAAATTAACATATTTTCATGAGGCTTTCCCAACAATTCAAAATGAGACAAATTCAGAATGAATAAAAATACTTTCACTTAAATCCCCAATTTGCCATATTCTGACATAATAACATGTCTACTCCCTTTCATAATAGCTAAAATGTACACATTTCAGGTTCATATGTAAAATGGGGATAATAATACTTCTCTCAAATGGTTATTATAAAGATTAAACAAATTATTCTAAAGTGTATTTATTGAATAAGCACTCAGTAAATGCTAATTTACTTTTAAATACTTGATATTTATAAGGGTTAATTCTCAAATATCATTTCCCTTTTAATATATAATATTCCAAATATAAGGAAGATTAAAGCAAAAGTTCTGGATTAGAATTCAAGCTCTATTAATGGAGTCACATAATTTCCTCAAATCAAATATTACCGCTAGAGACTTAGTTGCCCTCTCAATCCTCTATGGATGGATTATCCATATTGTAATCCATCCATGAAAATTTGATTTCAAGCTCCATCTGAAAATATTAAGCAGAAAAGACAACTGGAGTTTCTTAAGGGCACTAACTATTCTTGAATTACTGTTATTGTCTATTTCTAATGCAATCTTAGCCAGAGGCCACTAGAGTCAAAATATCTAATATGACCCCCATCAGATTATGTGAAACAAAAACATTACAATCTTAGAGAAATTTCATGAGTTCTCAGAAATGCAGCTTTCTCAATAAATGTGAGCATAATAGACATTCCTTCACAAATAGAAAATACTTTTTTCTTTCATGCCATTCGGGCTCTGTGCCACTGTTCTCATTCATTTAATAACAATCAAGAATTTTCTCAGGCCCAACCAGTGTGGCTCAGTGGTTGAGCATCAACCTATGAACCAGGAGATCAGAGTTCGATTCCAGGTCAAGGCATGTGCCCGGGTTATGAGTTCAATCCCCAGTGGGGGGTGTGCAGGAGGCAGCCGATCAATGATTCTCTATCATCATTGATTTTTCTCTTTCTCTTTCCCTCTCCCTTCCTCTCTGAAATCAATAAAGATAGATTTAAAAAAAACAAGAATTTTCTAGTAATAAGACTCTATTTACTTACTTTTATTTACTACTTAATTTTGAAAGCATTTTTGAAATGGAATGATAATTGTGTTATAGAAGAAGACAACTTTGGGGGAACATTTTCAGAGCTTCAGTTCATACACTGTAACCAGTATGTCAACACTGCTCCCTAATGAAATGCCATCTTCCTTCTGCCACTGTTGCTGCCATCAGTGCTCATTCTTGGTTCACTGAAGAGTTTACTCACAGCAACTATGAGAATTTTCAGGTATTTAAGTGGCTGTCTTACCAGATACAGTCTTACTCTATGAGGAAACCAAATTTTATCGAATGTAGCTGTCCTTTCTTAGGCTTAAAGTTATATTCACACAGACCTGCAGACGCAATACGATTGTCCAAATGGTGGATCCATATTCAGTTATAGGAATAATCCAAGAGGAAGGAGGGAGACAGTGTTGAAACTGATGTGTAATAGTCTTCACCTAGTTTGAATAATTTCCTTGGGCTTTGGGCTGGAAGGACAGTCTCTAGTTTCTGGTACCTGGCCCTGGGATGATTTAAGGCAGGGGAAGTATTGGCTTGATGTGTGAGAGTTAGTTTAATTTTTATCTGTTCCTATAAATTAGGCAAAGGAATGGAACAAGATTCTAGTATTAGCATAATTACTGGAAGGAATGCTGCCCCACCTACTGACCCGTCTCAGCATTTGAATGCTGATAAATATAACATGAAATTATTGTCAAGTAAGTCTATAAGGACGCAAAAGAACAGTTCAATTATTAACATGGCTAGTGAAATATACATTAGGAAATAAAATGGGAGCATATTTCAGAGCTCTGTCCCACCATGATGCTACAGGCCAGAGTGAGTCATGGCCAGCTCAGTTCTCCACGGAAGCAGTTGACCAAGCCAGAGATGCGATCACAAAACTGAAATGCAGTCTTCACAACCATGACATTTAACTACAATCCTTAATTGCTAAGGTTTGTGAGAGCAGCTAATTATAGTCTTAAACTTAAATCCAAGAGATATAAATAGTGTCCTACCAGGTGGCTCAGTTTGTTGGAGCCTCGTCCCATACACCAAAAAGGTTGGGGGTTCAGGGCACATACCTAGGTTGCAGGTTCGACCCCCAGCGGGATAAGTACCGAAGGCAACAGATCTCTCTCTCTCTCTCTCTCTCTCTCTCTCTCTCTCTCTCTCTCTTTCTCTCTCTCTCTCTCTCTCTCTCTCTCTCTCTCTCTCTCTTTTCTTTTCTCTCTTTTTCTCATCAATGAAAAACATATCCCCAGATGAGGATTTAAAAAATAGATATAGATAGGGTCTACATATTTTTATAAATAATTATATATAAATTTTTCAAAAATAAAATCCCTTAGTAAAGATACCAAGGACATCAGATATACATTTTTTAAAATGGTGAAGACTATACAGCACTTGAATCAGATGAAATTAGGCTGATCTTCCAATTCAGCACCAGGTGGTCTTATGGAATAAACAACACTGTACAAATGCCAAAAAAAATGATCAAGCCATGTGTTTGAATATAGAATCACAATTTACAAAGCACTTATAATCCTGTGCACTAAGTAGGACAGGAATTATTATCCTTAATTTTACAGGTTAGAAAACTATGGCTCTAAAATTCTCCCTTGAAATAAAGGTAGAGGAACAAGGACAGTGACAGATAATGGTCAAGTGATTTCATCTCAAGTCAACAATGTTTCTGACTTAAAATTCAAATAAAAACAAGAAAGCAAGATGTAGGCACCTGTGCTCTAGCCCCAAGAAGGAAATGATGAGTCTGAATAAGTGTAACAATCTAACAAGCCTGAGGATCCGGAGCTTCAACTATTGCTATAATTGTTTCTTATATTCCACAGAGATTGCAGAAATATAAGAAAGAAAACCTTTGTAGACTTTTTAAAAAAGAAGAAAAAAATGTTTATATACTTAGGGAATGATGAAGCCTTTTAAAATCAAACAAAAGCTGAAGGCATGAAGGTAAAGCTGTATCTCTAGGAAGAAAATAATACACAGTAAAAAGCAAAACAAAATTAAAAGAAACCCTTTTAAGCCTTAATAAAATATGCTAAAAATCTATTCCAATACCGAGGGGAAATCTGTGCAGCTAGCTAGCCAAGCCACTCCAGTTTTCTGATGCACAATTTCAACCTGTCCTAGCTGCAGTTTGGCGCCACCTGCTGGCCGCTGTCTTCCCTGTGTAAAATCAAGAGAGGATTCTGGGAAGAGCCGACTTCCAAGAAAGCCGCAGATGCAGGAATCTGCAGCTTGTTTAGTTGGCCTGACTCATCTTCAGTCTCCTATTTCCCAAACTTCCCTTGCCAGACCACCCCTCCCAACCCTGCCTGTCCACCTGCCATATCTCCCCTAGTCACCCCAGAAGATATGCACTTTAGCCCACCTTCTCTGGGGCTGGACACAGACTGTGAGCTAACAGCTCACATTTTATATGTCTGTGGGTTCTGTGAATAGGAAGCTATTGTCTATTTGGTATGAGGCAAGGTCCCAAGGACCTGTCAAGTAAACATAATCAATAAACTCTGTGCTTACTTCAATCTACATTGACTCTGGACTCTGAAGGACAGAAGTACCTCTACCCTACAAAGTCACACACCCATTCTCTTAACTCTCCATAAACCGACTAAACAGTCTTCAGGAAAAGTAAAAAAAATAAAAATAAAAAAGAGCTGTTTAAAGAGATTCCAGAGCAGCGGTTCTCAACCTGTGGGTCGCGACCCCTTTGGGGGTCGAATGACCCTTTCACAGGGGACGCCTAAGACCATTGGAAAACACATATATAATTACATATTGTTTTTGTGATTAATCACTATGCTTTAATTATGTTCAATTTGTAACAATGAAAATACATCCTGCATATCAGATATTTACATTACGATTCATAACAGTAGCAAAATTACAGTTGTGAAGTAGCAACAAAAATAATTTTATGGTTGGGGGTCACCACAACATGAGGAACTGTATTAAAGGGTCGCGGCATTAGGAAGGTTGAGAACCACTGTTCTTGAGCATTCAAACTCGACAAGTACAAAGCTAAGTCATTTTCTCCCAGAATAAAAGTTGGCAAAATGGCGTGATCGAGCAGATGCTGGTGGAGAAAAGGAAGCCTTCAAACAGATATGCTTAACTGAAACTAAAAAGAGAAAGACTGGAAAAGAATGATGGGGAAAGAAGATAGGAAAGATGAAGGAAGAGAAACAGTCACAGAATTTGGTGCATTTCAGCTCTATTTTTGTAGATACTTTGTAACTCCTTTGGTGTCTGGCAATAGCACAGGACTGACATTGATTTATGGATGGTGCCAGATCCACTGGGAGTGGCTTCTCAGGACACATATTCTGCAAAATCTTTTTTCCCTTCCAGGTAGTTGAGCCTGGTGAGGCTCACGGTGGCCACCATCATGACACTGACCTAAATAATAATTCTCTGCAGCGAAGTCCCCACATGATTCTGGCATGACCTTCCCTGTCCCCTCTGCAAACAACACCTCCTTTTACTAACAACCCCTCCAACACACACACACACACACACACACACACACACACACACACACACCCAGAGGTGGAGAATACAGATTTAAAAGACAGAACACATAATAAAGGACAGAAGCAATCAGTAACCCAAGCTGTTCATGAAGCAAGTCAAGCTGTGTTGTTTTTTGTTAATTCAAGGGCTCTTTATTCTCTCTCTACAACATGTTAGGTATTAAAAGAGGCTGTGCACACATCAAATTGGAGCTTTTCCTTTTGCCATACCATCTGCCAACACTCAACAAATACTCTATGCCCAGTTACTTCCCTTAACTATTCTG